GTGGATCATTTCACAGACTGCAGAATTTGGAATTCAAACAGGACATACGTTTAACGAAAACTTGGAGGCGGTGACCAGCTGACGAACTGTAGGAAAGACGAAACTGGTCGCGGATTGCGGAGGATTATTCAGCAGCCTCACAATTAATGTTTGATAATGAGTATGAATTTATTCCCGAAACAGTCTGCATAAGAGCAGTTTTTATCGCCTGCAAGTCTGTGTTTAGTCAACGGTTTTTTGCAGTCCATCTGTTATTTCATTGGTTGGTTGGTAGAACTTTCTGTTTACCGATTCATTATCAAGTTTCCTGGCTTGTCGGGACAGTGTAATACGCATTAGGGACCAGTTTATTTCGTAAAATGCCTGCAAAGAGTACGTAAACACCCTCTTTAAAATGTTGTCGCATCTAATCTAAAATGAAATTTAATTTATCAAGAATCCCTTCACTTATTTAAACCTAGCCACATAAATAACCGCATACTATGAAGATATTAATTTCCCAAAGGACATTCAGCTTATGGGACGTGAATTTGAAAACTGGCACTAAATCTCTGCCGTTTTGACAGGCGGGCGCGTCACAGGCTATGTAAATTGACTGAATCGCTGATCCGTTTTCAGACAGCGGGCCCGGGTGAGTAGGTAAGCGCATTAAACAACTGCACCAGATATGCGAACGAATTCGAAATGTACTGAGTTCACCCTGAGTGCTTGGATGAGGGTTTGTTTTTTAGCCTACATTTTCAGTAATCTTTTAGGTCGAGAAAATAACTGGAATTGCCGTTGATAAATTGAGCATACGTATGAAGTCGCTGTGCAAATGGAAATATACTCTAGATTTAACAAATTCAAATCCATGCTTGGCTTTGAGAAAAACTTATTTGATCCCAATCTGTAGTTAGACGCTTCTGTTATTGCTAGAGTGGCCGCACAATAACCAATCGGGTGATTGTGATATGAAATTGAGTAGGATCGACGAATCGTCTGTTAGTTTCCATACTCCACTTTAATTCTTATTACTGACTTCCACTACACCGAATAGTTGGTGTTTGCTACCACCCTGTACTGAGCCACTTAGCAAATCCGTTTTCGTTACTTTGTCAAGTCTGGTATACATGTCTGACGGCAGTGAACGAATCAGTCGAGTATTCTTAGGGTTTATGTGAATTTTGAGGATTCGTGTCGTCGGATTGGACGATAGAAAAATCAGAACAGTAATACCAAAGGGATATATGGAATCTCAAATAAAACCTGTTCTCACAAAAACGTAGACCCTTAAAATATGGGAAGGATCTATGATGAACTTTTTTAGAACCCTGTCAATTTACATGCAAACTCGTTGCGAATCATTTCGATTCTTGTATAGAACTAATGCTATCCTGTTCATTCCTATGACATTTTAATTATCCGTTAATTTTTTTATTTGCCACTAAGGGTTCCAATTTTAGTACATGGTTCAGATGGTCCCGAATCGTGTTTGTTCACGTTGGCTGACGAATGTATAGCTAGGACAATATCAACCAAGTGAAACTTTACACACCCATGCGATGAACGTTTTACACATGTAGGGCACAAAAGGACTCTTAGCATCCATGTCAGTGTTCTTCTTTGTCTTTCATTCCAAATTGAAGTCACTAGGATTTACATGTTTAGTTTTTTATTGATCTGGTTAGCCATCGCTCCGGCTAAATTAAAATCGCCCAATCTTACTGGATAAAATATGAATGATGTAATTGAAATCTAAGAAGCAATTTTAAGAGCGCAAAGTTTTATTGGCCGAAGTGTACACTTTTCATCTACGGTTAGAAACTACGTACGTGCGTCAATGTCCTTCGTATGTAGCGACGTCAACTTATGAATTGTCTGGTGGGTTTTTTTACAAACCAATATGATATGAGCAGAGTAAACGCTATCCTACGGCAGCTTTTACCGTCCATACTTAAGCGTAAAATTGCAATCCTCCATGATCAGATATTTAGCAATCGGGATAAACAACGAGGATTTTCGAGCTGATCATCATTGGATAAAACATAAGCGATTGCTAATGAATAAAATTGCATTGTATTTAGAATAATTGGTCTTATTTACTGCAGTGCTTCTGGACAACAGTTACTGTAAAATCCAGAATGCAAGTTGACAAAAATTATTGTTCTGGTGGGCTCTTTTTCTGGTCACCACAGATGGAGTGATTACGAGATCCAATAGCAGCGATCCGTATAAGTAAAGATGAGATAAGTTGAAGTCCGTGAGTAAAGTTGTGAAATTTGTGCAAGTCATGATCGATTGGCCTGAGTGGCTAGTGGTCACGTAAGCGGACCAAGAAAATTTCAATACGCGTAGGAACGTTTTCTGAGTGCACGAAATCAGGTTACTCGGGTGAATTGTAATTGCCACAACCGAGGCCAGCCACTAATAATGAAAGGATTTGGAAGGTTGATAGGCGCTTATTACAACATTCGGAAAAAGGAGTTAGAATTAACCGCACGACTAGCATCTGCCAAGTGTTCGACATGCGCTAATAAAGGACATCCCTGACCCAGGTGTAAGTCAAAATGGTTTATGCTAACTTATTCCCTTGTGCAAAATAGTAGGACTTTTTTGTTGGTATCACCTCGACTACTTCATTTTAATACATCAGGCTGTACCGTTGAAAAAGCATTGCTTTCGCTTATACGTATTTTGGTTTGGTGTTATTCTGAAGACATCGTAAATGAGTGGCATTTTCCTATCGACGTTTTTAGCTGATGTTTACCATGATCCAACTATCCTCAGTGTCGTGTGATATTTTAAAATTTCCGGTTTCCTAGCGGCAGTTTATCTAATTGTCCATCTAGGACATTCTTTGTAATAGAAACACCCATAAGACAGTTGAAGCAGAGAAGCATATCTGTGCGTTGACTCATGTGTCATATATTCATAACTTGCATGAAAGGTTGACAGCCATTTGAAAATTATATATGAAGTGGTCACAATACATTCCTATACAGCATACGAGATCAAGGGAGAAAGATTAGTACTTATCAGTGTTCTCCTGGATGAATCATACTTTTACTGACTGGCAAATTAACGTGAGACTATTACACCAAGGCAGCTTGTAAACAAGTCAAACACCAGCCTTGGATTACTTCAACATTTACTGGATGTCAAAGAATATTGCCATCGGCTGAAGAAGGCTTGTTAAGTGCAGTGAACAGTTTTTACTAGTTTCTTAGCTGGAACGCTCTGGAAGACCCGTCATATCACACTCTCGTTTGTGGTACGTGAGAAAATAGTATTTTTCGGCGTGTGAATTAACCGTTCACATCTAATGCTTTCAAAAAAGAGAATATTCGAAAGCAGGGCAGCTTTACTGAATTATTGCTATTGATTTCTTGTACGGTCGTACAACACTAATTCTTGTTTTTCCTGGCATGCCTTCTGTCGTACGTACTTTTTTGTGGCTGGATATATCTGGTTTTTTAATCAATTACTAATTTAAAATAAGCAGAAATTTACTTGTCCAAGTGTTTTTTGAGACGGGATGGCGAGATTTTGCATCCTCACCTGCATTGGCACTCAAGGGTTTATCAATCCATTCATCAGTGAGCGCATTGGCAATATGTTTCGGACTAGTGAGGAATGGTCGTGCACAACCACTAACCCACCGCTACGCACCACTACGCTCCCCAATAACGCACTGATGATGTCACCTCGATTGGTGATGAAAATTTTGCAATCCAATTGCCCAACTCAGCAAACAAGCCAACGACCATCTATGCTACCTAATTAGGAATATTTACAGTCATGGGCCACTCAATAATTAATTTTCGATAAACGTAGCGAATTTATCAGTATATGGATAAATCCTTTCGGCAAGGAGTCGTCTATCAGAAACACCAACTAAATGGGTTCAAACTATTGGACAGGAAAGCAAACATCTCATATGCACCTTATTTCCTATAAATGGACATCCTCACGCGTCTTCTTGAACTTTCGGGGACACTACTTGACTATTACTCAATTGTAAACGAATGCTTCAAAGCAGTTCACAGGTTCCGGAATAAACCCCACCTTCTAATAGACGGGAGGGGGAGTTACGAAAAATACAACATGCCACTCGCATGCCTCATCAGCTGTATCTGCCATTACATTAGTATTACGGCTCACAACTTAAACTCTTCCAGTAACATGGGTTTTAATTAAGAGGAACAGCAACAACTGTACATAGACAAATGTCTTCCAACATTTAGTGAATTGCGGGAGCTAACAGGAAGGAGGACGTGGTCCCTCTCTATTGGAGGGTTGCATCCACAAGTGGGCCTGTTGCCCACAACACCCCTCCCACTCATAACGTAACTTCATGTACTCCTAATTATTACTAAAGTGTGTGCAGAGGTTGTGGATGGTATTTGTCCACACTCTCCTTTCATCCAGTTACGTGTAATTGGCTTCACCTGGCCGATTAACTGATCCATACACTCACTAAAAAAACATAACCCATTGTGATTGTGGTTTCACAGAAACTTAACCTTAATCTAAATCCGCAAAACACGCAGAACTACCGTAGAACAGATCACCTATGTGAGTGGCACATTTCATCTCCGGAACCAATGGGGAGTTCCCACTGAATTCCGACTACCACGCACGATTGAAAACTGGGATCCATAACTTCATGGCTGCCAATTATTCATTGGCCAAATGCTAACTGCCTTAATAAAAGAGTATCCGACTAGATTGATCTTCTTACAAGTACAAATTTTCCAAAAGACAGAATTGAACATCTCAGGATATTTTGAAGATTTCCTGGGGTCAATTTCCGCATTTGCTGATACTGACGCAACTTACCAGACTGTCAGCTCACCAAAGTTCCCTGAAGTGACAACCCGGCGTTCATTAAGTGGACTCTGTAATAACATCCTTTTCTGTGCAAGAAAGTGATTATAAAACTATGCATTTGTTAAGTTGAACTCGATCTGTGTCACATCACGTCTAGGATTATTTTGAAAGCTCCTTAAGTCAGTACAATGAGCACCTCTGCGGATGTCAGGGGACATGCCACTCCGTCGGAACGGGCAGCCCACACATTGCGTGATTACTCGTCTTTCGTCACTCAGTCAAGCTTATGCTGTGTGGATTTCAAACCTAAGAAAAATGAAGAATTACCACTTACTTTTAACACCACCGCACTTTGTGTGGAACAGCAAAAAGTCATGTTCAAACGCTTGGCTACTTCCGTCGACCGGACAATGCTCTCATCTTTGTTCGATGATGCTGAGCTCCGTGTAACACGCATGAAGTTTGAACGCAACCTGACTTCCGAATTCGGGAAGCGTAAATATCCCCAGAAATAGCCACCAACCTGGATGTTTGGCAGTACCGTGCGTTAAAGCAGTTTGTGTACAACAGCTAGTTTACTTCTATCTTTTAAAAGCCCCCGAAAAGACTTTAACGTATTTTCAATCAATTTAAGGAATGAAAGCCCAGTGTTGTGAATCAAATCGAATAAATCTGCACTCACATCCTGGACGGTGCTTCGCTGGAAAATGCTGCAATAACATGCACGAGTGAAGACGGTCCCTCTGGTCTTAGATCATAGTGACCCTAATTAAGACACCCCACTCACCGCTTCTCTTCAAGCAAGAGAGTGGTGAGAGAAGAAATAAAATATGAATCCAGGTTGTCCGTAGTCAGATGCACTCGCACAATTCTCTAAATTTGACTATTGAATACATCTTTCGTTTTTTTCGAAACACAATAAAACAGGTGTATCTTTGGTTGGTAAGTTCAGAAACAGTCATGAGGCAACCGCGGGAAATTAATCATTCATAAGTTACCTGTAGATGACAACAGCTATCGTTATCAACTCGTGCAATTACATATTGGACAATTACGCACACGCGATTATGTATCCTGGTGTTTGCCGTTCCCCTCGATACAACGAACTTCCAGAAACTTCAAGCATTCCCATCGCCTTTAACATGAAAATAAGCGCAGAATTCAGTAGAGTGCCCAAGAAAGACTTGCATATGGTAGATGCCTGTATCCTTTAGAAACCGGGTGGATAAAAATCCATCAGATCTACACGCTCAGATGATACCTGCTCTTTTTTATTGTACAGTGGTCTGCCAAGCCAAACTGCTAAGATTAACTCGTTGCTGACGCATCTGTTGATCGATTTCCTTTGTCCAGCGCGCCAGATTAGGCATTGTCGTTAGACGCACTGATCCAGCGATTACACTCAAGATGGTCGAGAACAGTTGATGCAGAAAATGTAGCTTCCTGTGGATCCTGAAAATTTAAGACTAATCCAATTGAATATGCACGCCAGTATGACCTGGTTTTGGGCAGAAATCCCAAAGCCTCGATGAAAGTTAACCTGCAAATGATGGAGCAAAATCGGTTTCAGAAGCTGCTGGTAACACAACTACACAGCATTTATTTACCAGCTCATTTATCGGACCTTTTATCAGCCTGACAAAATGTGAGTCATGAGTGCTGATAGTTGCAAAAAGTGCTGGAAAGCTCAAATTCACTACATCCTCAAACAAATCTGCATTGCTTTCTGTCTGCGTAGCGGGATCACACTGCAATTGGCATCCTTTGGTTGAAGCAAACGCGTCCAGTATACCAGCGCATATTTAACGTCATTCGAGAGTCATTTCTCCGGGTGGATCGAAATTGCAGCTACTTTGACTCAGATCCTCGCGGTACAGTTTATACTTCCAAACTCATTCTCAGTCGAATAACTTTCGACACTTGAGGATTACCATACTACGAGGTGCGGTTCGTATAAGCGACGGTTTTGTAGTCTACATTCTCAACCACCTTTACCAACTTGACTGGCTACAAAATATCTCAATGTCTGTCTTCATCGCCTTATTTACTTGGTTCAGTTATTCTGCCTTACTTTGTTTTATTTTTGCCCTTCCCAGCAAAGCCAAGTTGGCGGTGCAGAACTATCCGTTACAGGGGACGCTCGCGGGCCTGAACCTACTTCTACGTAAATAGACAATTCCGTAGAAGTCTATGAAAATTCCTCGCAATTTCCAAAACGATACAGTGGTGGTACATTATGCGAAGGAACCCTGTGATTAACGCTTGGACAAATATTAGTAAATATCCGACAGAGCGGTTAAGTGTTCAAACTGCCAAACCCCGTGGATTTGCGTGACTTACATACTACGGATGATTCCCAATAATGATAAAACAGCTGTGCAGTGCTTTCTGGCCTTCCAGAATAGGTTGGCCCCACTCACGAAGCATATCTCTATTAACATTTCCAGGTGCTCTCACATTCCCAACTATACGTGAACTTATTTTGACAACTTTACCAGTAATCCTTCAACTAACTTGCCTTTTCACTCATCTGAATTACAAAGTTTGGTCAGTGATAAGACTGCCGTTCCTATGTTTTTAATGTTGTTAAGTTGATCTTTCACAACGATTGGTAGAAGCATATCCATTAGGTATTTTCGGCTAATTGGCTTTTAGATTTTTTGGTCTCTGCGGAAAGCGTTTCCTAAGACCCTACTTCGTTTATGTTTCTTTTGTGTGAAACAGTGTTCCGTAAATTTGTTTGTGCCTACGTGAATTAACCTTTGTGGGTTTGGTGAGCTAGGTGGATAATAATTGCAGTATCAATGTATGCAATTCAAGCTTTCACGTGACACTGCACAATGCTTCTGAGTAGTTTTCTGTAATGTGTTTGGATACTATCCTTGAAGTTAAGCCTTCTTTTTTGTCGCAAAGAATAGAGATACGTTGGGTGGGGCATTTTTAAAAGTGAATCTAAGCTTATGCCTTTTCCCATAAGGTGACCAAGGTTTGTCCTAGCTCTAACATCCGTGGAAAATTGCGCGTGAACGATCCGAACGCGCTTGTAATGAGAAGGCTGTTGAGGATAGATATACAACATTTGTCGGGGAAGAAACAAAGTATTTCAATCCCAGCAACAGTAATGAGACACACCGCTGTGACAAGTTAGAGTGGTATATGAACACAGAGTCATTGAAGTGAATGGGTGTATTATGAAAGCGACAAATTGAAATCGGGCGATAGATTTAGATTTCCTACGCTCCTGTTAAAAATTTGATTTTGTGGATCAAGAGAAAAAAGGGGTAAAATCTACTTCAACAGCCGTTCCGCGTGTTAGTTACTAATTGAGTGCTACTCAGATATTGGCCAAATGAAATACAGCGGAGGGACTCTGGTGCACTGGATACACAAACCAGATTACTACTGACGTCGTGAACCACGTCAATGTAAAGCAGCGTGCTAAAAACCACAGGGAAATCTAGATGCTAGGGGCCATGCGTTTCATAGGAGCAGAAAATACCACGCGCCTAAATTTTCAACCTTGACCCGGTAGCTGACACAAACCCATTACTGTAAGTTATCGTAACTTCTTAAGATGGAGTCCAATGTGACTACACAAGGACAGCTATCTTTGTGTGCTTAGCTGTGCAACCGGCGGTTAATCTCAGCAAGCATGGAATTAAATAGCTGGGGCCCATCAGATCCCATAGGTTTGAATAGAAGGCAATCCTGGTACTAGACATTTCCTTCATTTTACTGCCCAGATTTGAAGCGTTACTGAAGCATTACTGTGCAGTTATTAACTAGCCCTGCTAATATCATTTTCAGAAAGGGACACAGTTCGTGAAGTCTAGTCCCAATAAGATTTATTATTTTTGTCTAGCCGGCAGCTAAAACAAGCCAACAAAGTAGTGCACATGTGCTGTTCTAGGTCTGGTGACCAGGCGGAGACTTTGTGCGTTTCAAATAAGTTTGTAACCGATTAGGTTGTTGAGTCTCTTCACAGAGGTCATGGTCTTTAGCCTTGGTGTGTGAGACTTCGCGAATGTTAAATTACGGTCTTCAGCTCAAAGCTCTGTTTATAAATGGAGCAGTAAGGACGAAATTTGGTCCAGATGATTTTATCACGCGTTTAGTTTGCCTACCGTATACGGCGAAAGACCACATCGGACTATGAACTCATTTTTTACTCAATGATGGTTTGGCATAATTTGCCTTGGGCTGCTCGTCCACCAGATCTAGTCGAACCACCCGGTCCCATGCACTGCAAAATTGCGTGGTTGAACTATTCGTCAGTGGCCACTTTTTAATACAAAACTGAATGCTATGATGTGATAGACGCTGGCAGGCTAGATAAGTTAATCACGGTGAAAATTTTCAGATCGATGGTTAATTGATAGTGGCAGGTTTCCATTCTGCGGTTGACATCGGAAAAAAAATAAATCTGTGGACTTGGGAGAGCAACGTTCGAGATAGCTGGTTGAATTTGGAGTTATTGGAAAATTGGGCACACTTTTGTCAGTCGATAGCAGCATCAACCAGTTTGACTTAAGAACACAGTCTGATATGGAGAAATCCAGTTAGATATGTGAAAGATAAAGCTCACAACAACGTGTTTTGTAACTTTCGACCGAGCTATATGACTCGGCACACAACCACTATTGCGTAATGTGGCATGAAGTGATGAGTACACACTTTTATCTAGGAATGATCTTGACTACTTTGTTCGAAATCCAAACTTATAGATTGCTTAAAATTTTCAGCCATCCCATCTTCAAGTACAGTGAATTGTAGTACAAGTGAAGTCCCGTGTGCACGATTCGGCTAACTGTGTAAATCAAACCGGGTGCCCTCTTAGACAGCTACCACGTTCTGAGTTTCGTTGTGGTGTGAGCATAAAACAATATAATATATATAATACTCTGCTACAATAATAATATAATAACGGTAATGCAACCCACATGAATATTGATTTCATGGCAAACTTTTGATATGCAGCTCGAAGAAATTCGAATGATGCTGTCTTCATTTAGATTGGGCCGAATGCAATTTTGCTGGCAATGATTTGCAACTTCAATTCTGGAGATGAATAACAAAGTTACAAGCTCATTTCACGTTGATTTATCTGTGTTGCTTTAAAGAAAGTAGAATCTTTATTATTTTTTTTGCGCCACGCCTACAAGAGGAGTAACTGCCTCATTCTAACAGAAAATGCATACGTAAAGTGTATATTGACCAACAAAGTTAAATTTCCTCACATCTTGGTCTATAAAGTGGAAGTTATCATCCCATTCAGCCGAGCAGAATGATGGGAGGAAATTGATCTCTTTTCATCCCTGTTTTCTCCAAAATTATCATGCTGTTCTAGAGATATTTACGACAATTTGCCAACAAGATTCAGTGGACTGGCGCGTGTTTTACCCGCTCGATAGAGATGTTCATTAGAATATTTCGCATGAGCGTCTGAGGGCCCGCCGATAATGTTTGGTCACTTCAAATTTTGGAAGTTATGCTTAGTAATTACCAATGCATTATT